AGTTTGCCTCTCTCTAAAGCTCATTTTTCACCCCTTTTTTTTGTTGTTAGCAGCTTCAAGTGTAGCGTTTTAGTGGTACATGGAGAGCAGTGACAGATGATACCCAGAGGAAAATTATCGCTCAGGTTGCTCTTTCATAGCTCAAGAGACCATGTTTTGCAATAGATCTCATAGATCTCAACTCTGTCTCAGATGTTTCTCCTAAAATTCCTGTGGAGAAATAAAAACAGAGTCAGTAGTGTCAGTAGTTGTCATACGGTAAGAGTTTAGAGCTATAAAATGAATAGGGACAAGCTACGAATGTATTTCCTCAGCGACCAGCACGGATCAACTCCAGGCATGACGAAGCGGATATCGTCCTCTTTTGGAAGGCCAAACAAAGTAGTTTCACTTTCACAACGAAACACACAGCGCCTTCACGACATGGCGGCGGCGGCGGCAACAACAATACTACAGCGAGAATAAAAGTTACGCCTTCTTTCTTTGCGTGAACATTTGGGCGGCGTTATGCAAATCTTCCCACATCGTGACGTAGACATGTGGGGGCATGTTAGAACGAGCCGTTTTAGGTAGGCATTGTTGACTCTTAACTTTTATAAAGAATATATCTTTGGATTTGAGACTTTAGTCTTTGCAATTTTACAGATCTTCTTTATGCACCAAGAGCTTGTAACACTCCAAAGAGAAAGGAAAACTTGAAATCGCATCATATGACCCCTTTAAAACCTCAAACTGTTCCACACTTCTCATTTCACTTCCACATTTCTGCACCTTTGTTCAACAACGCAAAACCACAAGGTTAGGCAAAGGACTCTGCTCATCCCTTTTTGTCCTGTCAGGGCTAGAGGTCATAAGAGGAACCATGACGCCAGACACCAGAGACATTATGCAAATACAACACACTGAGCAGAACCGGTAGTGTGGATATTACAGACCGAGAAAACATTAGAGAAACATTCTCACATACTGCATTTGCTCGTATGTGAATAATGTGTGAATATCACTGCAAAATATCTAAACAATTGCCATCTGAACTGCATGTACTTTTGCTTGTTTTACAGTAAAAAATATTTGCGTGTCCTTTAAAAGTATCATTATTTGCTTACTTAAACCTGAGTATTTAGGCCACAATAAAAGATAAGGACATTACGCCTTAAATAGTTGGCAATGATGACAATGACAATAACCTTTAACAACAGTGACAATTAATATCAGTCTTTCATCATTGGTTTGTCACCGACATCAAAGTTAGTGTGTTAGAATGTATGAGAGCAGAAAGCAAGGAAATTTTCAATAAATCATCACTTTAATTTCAGTCTTTTTCTCAAACAAATCTATCACGTGTCTTCAGTTATAGGCTTGGAATGTACAGTGAGTACAGAAAAGAATCGCCCCCCTTTAAAGGGGTCATGAACTGCATTTTTTAGGCGGGGCGCATTCAAGACTCACAAGTAAACGCCCACTGCTATGATTGGTTAACAGTTTCACTTATTAAATGGACGATACTGTGTCGTACTCTGAAAACAACATGGGCCATTTGGGTTAAAAATCTATAAATGCTGAGTATATATCAAACGGTCTGGAACAGACAATGCAATAGTGGTAAAAGCACGTTTACTCACACTTATGTGTTGCGACATTACAGTTGGATCCACTCTAGTCAGACTCAGCACTGCATCATCGTTTACATTCAGTCTCTCTGAAAAGCCTGCATTTTACTGTCTTGTTTAAAAAAATGAATCAGCAGCAAAATAAAGCAAACAGTGTTTCACTGACACAGTCTGGAGCTCTTTGCTAATTTTACCCCGTGTTTACACCGGACAAGAGCGGCGCAACGTGACTATAGACAACAGAACCCATTATAATCTGCGATTCTGTTTACACTGGATGAGGCACGGATTGACACAACAAATCTCTGAAAGTAAACTGATGTCCCACTCTATTTCTGACATGCAAGCATTCACGCCGCTTCTGACCTGAACAGGGCCGGCCCTAGCATTATGGGGGCCCTAAGCAGATTTTCAAAAGTGTGCTCTCCATCCCCCAACATACACATCCTACACTGTCACCTTATTGTAAAGCAATGTTATTTTAGTATCACTGAGGTACAGTGGGGAAAATATTTATTTGATCCCCTGCTGATTTTGTAAGTTTGCCCAGTTACAAAGAAATGAAGGGTCTGTAATTTTTATGGTAGGTTTATTTTAACGTATAGAGACAGAATACCAACCAAAAAATCCAGAAAAAAACATTATATAAAGGTTAGAAATTTATTTGCATTTCATTGAGTGAAATAAGTATTTGATCCCCAAGCAAAACATAACTTAGTACTTGGTGCAGAAACCCTTGTTGGCAAGCACAGAGGTAAGATGTTTTTTGTAGTTGGTCACCAGGTTTGCACACATCTCAGGAGGGATTTTGTCCACTCCTCTTTACAGATCCTCTCTAAATCCTTGAGGTTTCTTGGCTGTCATTTGGCAACTCGAAATTTCAGCTCCCTCCACAGATTTTCCATGGGATCGAGGTCTGGAGACTGGCTAGGCCACTTCATGACCTTAATGTGCTTCTTCTTGAGCCACTCCTTTGTTGCCTTGGCGGTATGTTTTGGGTC